GGTGACTTCCAATATTCATGCTAAAAAAGGGGGGTTTCAAAGTAACCCCAAATCAATTATAACTTTAATCACGCTGTTTTTATTTTTTTCTCAATAAGTATTGAATAATTGTTTGTTCTTTTCAAAACCGATAAGTCGACATTTTTTATTAAAAAAAAATCACGGGGTAAAAAGTTACAGATGTTTAAATTTCAAAATTGATCAAAGTAACCTCGGTTTAGGGTAGTAGCTGTAGTGCCATTCAGAGCTTTAAATTGCAAAGATCTAAGTGACACTGCCACTGCGCCCGCCACACTGAGTCATAAGTTGACAAGTCTCTTGTGGCTGTAATTTCAACAGCAACCTTGACCTAAAACCGAAACTGCTTGGCGGCAGAAATAGGTAAGGTAGTACTACTTCTCTGGATGAACTCTACTGCCACTAAGACACAGGAGTGTTTGAAATGTATCTAGAAAATTGAGCACTTAATACCGGACTTGTTTATTAAAAAGGGGTTTTTAGAAGTAGACTTTTGAATTACATAGCGGTCCATGAAAAATGATCTCTCAGACGTTTCAGCAAATAATAAAGGTGGAGTTCATTTGTTATTATTGATATAAAAATCGAACAAACAAAAACATTAATTCGAACCGGCCGGCCTCTAACCAGCAATTGTATGCCAAACTGCTCTCCCAACACTAGGGAACGAGTCACCTGATCCTACGAATTTAATGACTCATTGAATGATTAAAGAAAGCATTTCTGAACGACGGCTACGATAATTGTATTGGTATGCACTTGACAAAAAGTTCAATGCTGCAAGTTCACCCCTTGGCCTCTTCCGCAAACGCAATTAGGCTGCTAGGGTCGTGCTGACATTTCCACAAGTTGATAATTGATCATATATGAGTCAGATATCTTGAGATTTCGTCGGACCTTAATTAGACGTTTGACATTTTGCGAGAAATGTTTTAAATTAATTTTTAATGATAATCAAATAAAGAATCTCCTCAATATAACATCATTATAAAAACTTTAGAAAACACTCTTCACTTCTTCCCGACTTTATCCCGCGCAAGGTGGGGTCTGCACAACATGTATGTTCTTCCACTCCCCCTATCAGCCGACACTGAAGGTCGAAATCTATTTTATAAGCAGATCTTCAAAGGCTTTGATGAGAAATCTATGAAAAACTCCGGTTTGGATATTTTTGACTCAAGATCCAGAATATTTAAAAGAGTGTGAGTTAACACTTACATAGGTATTTACCCAAACCCATTTCCATTTACATAAACCCATAGTAAATTAGGGGGTAATATAAATTGAGTAAAGGGTAGGTATATTATTAGCAAATTGTGAACAGTGGATTGATAATAACAGCAGCAGACCTCCTTGTGAAAGAGTTCGTCCAAGCAAGCACCGCCAACCACCAATTTCTGCTGCCGAGCAGTAATGTGAGCATTATTATGAAGGATAAGGGTGCTGGTGAAATTACAGGCACTTGGTACTTGTCAACTAATGTCTCAGGGTGTCGGGCGCAGTGGCAGTGCCCCCAAGATCTTTGTAATCTGCTCACAACCAGGCACACGACTTGTTCGTCCCGTCATTTAGTATTATATAAAAAAAAGATCTATCTTGTTACTTTATAATGAAGTGTCAACCCAAAGGACTTATATTAAACTCTAGTCAATGTAATTTGATTGTGAACTGTTTTGTTGTCAGTGTAATTAATAAATAAACAAAGAAACCTAATTCCGTCATACTCGCTTCTCACTAAAGGAACTTAACTTGAGTAACATAACAGCTAAAGCTCATTTTCAATATTTTCTCAAGCGTATCTAGCGCGTGTTCTGCGGCTGTTATTAATGGCGTTATTTCAATTCCCTGGTCCTTGATAAGTTTTCCAGCCCGGAAGTGTGCGCAGTGTGTGCCTACGCATTGTTCGCAACAATAGTTTTCCCATTTTCTCAGCGGCCGCCGGCCGTCGCTCCCGGTGACCGCGGCCGACCGTGCGTCGACCTCGCCCGCAGCCAACCAGCTACCGGCTGACGCCTAACACCATTGACGCCATTCCCAATTCGAATGTTAAAAATTTTTATCGTTTACAAATTTTTGATTCAAGACGAGGATCTCGAGTCAATCTGCCTTATATTCAATTCTACTTTCTTTTATTACCTACATTTGCTTTCGAGGAACAAAATTTAAAATTTTTATGACAGACGGCATTGGCTTATATTATTCTCCCCAGAGTAGATAGAGCCCAGCTAGTTTATTTCAAATGGATCGACAAGCGCTAATAATAAAAACATGCGAATACGTATTCTATTCTAATATAAGGCTGTTTGTTTCTAAACCAACTGCTAATGGGGCACTAGAATCGTCGTAACACGTTACTGGCACTCATGTTTCGTGACCTACCTCAACCCTCGTGTGAGAGCTAAGCATTGGGCAATATCGTCTCAAGACTGAAGATTTATAATTTAAGTTTGAATTCTGACTTGTTGCTTAACGCACTTTTTGGCGGCATGGTATAAAATTTCTTATAGATAACCCGAAACGTCACGGAACCTAATTATGAATAGTTTTGGGCAACAAAATGCACCGTTTTCACACTTTATGTTCTGACAGAGCGTAATGGAGTTGATTTACATTTGTCTGACGTGCCGTGACGCGTCATAGCCATATTAAATAATATGGTTAGATTTATATAACTGCGTCGCAATGTGACGTAACGGCTTGTGCTGTGTGCATGAAACCTATACCGTTCTGCTGACGTGTCGTCAGACAAATGCAAATGTCATGTGCGACATTTTCTGCGTTCGAAGAATGTATATACACCGAAAAGAACAATTCCGTATACGATTTTAAAAGTTCGCCGCAATTTTCAATTTAGCGTGGAAAAAAGGCCTAATTGACAAAAGTATCGTGGGTGTCCCTGGCCGGCGGCCAGGAGAGGCGCAGGGGCGACGCTCTAAGGCCATTGTTCATTTCTAAAATAGACGCTAATACAACACAAAACGGCCCATTAAGATTGGCAGGAGCCTGCTTAATCAGTGGCTAAAAATGTAGTAGACCTATGAGAAAAATAGAAAAACAAGCGTATGAATAAACAATGCATTTTTATTTATTTACAACAGTAACACTGTGAATAGGAACACAAACAATACAATGCTCATTTTAAAAAAGATCAGTTTAGTTCGATACACTTAGTTTTTGTTTAATTTTAAATCGGAATATGGATGATTGTTCCCACACTACATCGCCTTGGTGTTCATATAAATTTCAGAAATTCCACACCGGCGGCCATTGTGTCAAATTATTTTTATTATTTTCGACTGACAATACTGGGAACATTATTGTTTCGGCGCGAATGTGAACGGTAAAAAAGGTTATATAATCAGTGTCTTATTTTTTTATAAATAAAATAAGATAAAAACATTTTGAATGCCACTTCAAATAATGCAAGTACCATAACATTTTAAGCCTTCGACAAACGCGTAAATCCATTACTCTTAAAACTAAACGTGATAAAAAATTATACAAAATTATCTACACTTACTAACAAAAGAGGCTAGAGTTTATTTAAGCTTATGTCACCTTAAATAGTAAACAACAACCAAAACACCAAATGGTATTGAAAATACAATAAAAATAACAGAAACTTACAATATGTATTCAGTTCTGGGGTCGCTACCTCAGTATCAAAATTTAAAAGGTATGTCTACTTTATAAGGGAGCCTTATGAGATAAGTAAAGGTAGGGGCCGGACAGTAACATTGTAATAATAATATAATGTACCGTTAGACGGTACCTGAACCTGAATTCTTGGCCCCGGCTGATTGCCATTGCCGTGGAATAGTGTCTCTCCCATTTAAAAATTCAAAGGGAGAGGCGTGAATTGAAATTGATACCAAAAAATTTTTTATTTACAACAAGAGCCTCCTTTTAAGTCTAGACTGTAATGGCAGACTCGTTATAACTATAGCTATATTAAAAATTATAAAAAAATAGACTTAATACTAGTTGTATATAAACTCTTTAAACATTTTGAAACATTATTTAGTTATTAAATACATTGTTATGTAGCCATGTAGTGTTAAAAGTTTAGTAGTATGTAAACTTCTGGTATATTTATTTGTAGTTTGTGTAATGTTTTTTAAAATTTATGTTGACCGAGTTCCGAAATTTGAAGACAAATTAAGGTCTAAAGATAACGGAGCTAAAATGGAGCAGGACATGTTGAGAGGCGTGGTGGTGACAGATGGAGTAAAATGGCAGCCGAATAGAGGCCTGGAAGTGGTTACAGAAATGACCAACATCCTTCAGTCAAAGTTATGCGCTTTAGTTGGGTGAGATGAGTGGTGGATGGCGAAAACCACACGACGGCTTTACCCAACAAAGGGCGGAGTCGAGCTGTGGTTTATACATTTTTTACCTATTGGAAATGAAATTTCTTTTTCGGATCTAAATCTAGTATATTTGTAATTAAGTGTTTTATTGAATTCATTTATTTATTCTAAAGTTTTTCCACTAGTTTGTTCTAATTATTAATACAAAGATTAATACGAACATTTAGAAAAACATCCTTCGATCGTGTTGGAGTCGAACCAACGTCTTCTAGCTAACCGTCACACGAACAAACGAACCTTACGAATTTTTCCATGTGCTTGTTGCATCTTTGTTTTGGTTTTTTAACGACTTTTTTGCCGTAGCGACATCTGTGATTTGGACTATATTTGTTTTTTCAAACAAACCCACGTTTCAGACCCTTTACCAGCTCGCGCCATCGTCACGTTTGATGATAGTCATCAACCATCTGTAATCTTAATGCTGTTGTTTTATCTTTTTTATTTAATATACCTGCCTATTATATAACTGCCTCCGTGGCCGAACGGTTACCATGCCGGACTGCCACGCAGAGGTCCCAGGTGCGATTCCCGGGCCGGGAGAAATATTTGTATGGCCTACATTTATTTCTCTCGTGAGTTTGGGTGTAATATATGGTTGTCTACGTGTGTGTCCATGGCACCCGCGACACATGGTTTCCCTAGTGCGGGGCTATGTTGAGTGTGTACGTTATTGTTATTATTATTATTCAGAGCTTTAAATCAGAAAGATCTGAGGGGCACTGCAACAGCACCTGTCACCTTTAGACATACGTTGAAATGTTCAATGTGCCTGTATGTCACCAGCATTCTTACTTAGTGTAAGTGTATGAGTGTATTTTTAGGGGTATCACTTACTATTGTTACAAAAGAAAGCAGGATGTAACATCTAGAATAAGCAATCGCAATATGGCGACGACGAGCAGTCACCGCTCTACAATGTTGACTATTACTACGTGTTCGCCTCGTACCATCATCTGAGGTATATGTCTTGTACACTCCCACATACCTCCACCGAGAGATTTCTCTGTGACTGTTGGTACTGGGGATATAGTTGCTGCTGTACCTTTGGGAACCGGTGTACCTGAAAAGAAGAATCATCTGTAGCCAATAGAGTATTTAACAAAAAATCCGATTTTCTTTTTTTAAATATCTCAACAAATACCGATGATTTTAATAAACAAATTCATTGGTGGGACGATATTCAGTTTCATTTTGAACAAAACCGTCTTTGGTGTGTAACTATGAAACTTTAAAATCAAAAATATAGATATGTATAGGGTTGCCAGATCTTAAAACTGCATAGCCGGACAGACAAGCCAGTTTAGCCGGATGTTTGAACAAAAAGGTCAAACACCCACCATTTTTAAGAATTACGTATCGTAATTTAAATACGACATTTTTTTAATGTAAAACCAATAACTGCCTCCTAAGCCGAACGGTTACCATCCAAGTCTGCCACGCAGAGGTCCCGGGTTCGATTTTCGAGCCGGGAAAAATGTAGCCTACATTTATTTTGCTCGTGAATTTGAGTATAATTTGTGGTTGTCTATGTGTGTCCATGGCACCCGTGAGACACGGTTTCCCTAGTGCGGCTCATATGGCTATGAGCGTGTAGGTTATTATCATTGAGTACGGATTTGTCATAACCCCTGGATAATCCCCGGACGAACTCTTTCACAGGGAGCTGTACTGCGTCCAATATAGTTTGTAGAATAGCGATAACTTACCCAGACCTGGTGGTACCTTTCGCTTATTAGGTCCCTTTCTCTTCCAAACCTCGACAACGTCAGTCAGTGCAAGGTTCCACTGCTTGTCGAAGGCCGCCAGAGTCGCGTGGAGCACTCCTCTGATGGAGGTGGATGACCGGGTTGTTACCTTTGACAAACAAACAAACATTTTGTTTTCTATACTTGATTACGGCCAGTGTCAAAAACTTGGGTGGTTTGAGTTAAATGCGACCTTTTTTATCACAACCTTGGGAACCAAATCTCTGGTTTTGGTATTTAAAGATTTTTTTGCCATAACACCATCTATGAGAAATCTATAAAAGTTTTTCTTCACTCAGCCTGATTATATATAATCTCTAAATAATCTTCAACCCTCGTCGAGTGAACACTTACCAACTCCAATTTTATTTTCTATTTCCCGCCAACGCAATTTTTCCGAATATATTTCGGGTAAATTGTGCTTCTTAAAGACTTCTTCGAAGCCCGGTATAAGGGGAGAAGCCAATGATCAAAAAATAAAAGGAAATCCCTTCAAATGTGTTATACATATTAAACAAAACATTTGGAAGCATTTCCGATTCGTCACAACTGTTTATCCAATAAGCAGAGATAGGAATAGACAGTGTACATTTGCAACAAACTTCAAATAATATACAGTGAATAACAACTCCCTCTGAAATTAGGGAAGTTTTAAAAATAAAACGCAAAAAATCAAAACAAAATCGTTATAGGTATTTTTCTTCTAAATTTACATGAAATTTGCAGAACGAAAAGATAAAGGTATTTATTATCCATTCTATTCTATTATTTTAGTATTATCTATTGTATTCCTTGATGTTTAGGTAAAAATAGCTATACCGATCTCTGCTAATAAGGCCGCCACAATTGCCCAGAGTCCTCAAAGCTCTGTATAAAGGTTCGAGAGATATTAAAGTGTGAAATAAAATGCTACTTTTAACATAGACCAAGAAGATAGTGAACAAAACTCTAGACTTCTTCCAGTTGACTGAGATAGATTATAATCATTGACATCTTGTTCTGTACCAAGCACTAAGCACCAAGTACGGAGCAGTTATGAGCGACGTAAGGTTGAGGCCGAGCGTTGCGAAACGCGGGAAAACTGAAATCCGTTACCGTACCAAACTCGCAACGAGAAATCCGCGGGTAATAGGTCCCCGATTCTACGAACATCTACCCACAGACCTGAAAAGTGTTACAAACGACGAAACGTTTAATACCCGACTAAAACTCCTTTTATTGGATAATAAATTCTACAGTGCCGATGAGTTTCTTTTGAAACAATTGTAATTTTGTTTTACTTGACTTCTTTGTATTTAGACAAGCAGTAGCTATACGTGGCTTTGTTGGTATAGCGTCTGGCACGGTAAGCTAGAAGACGTCGGTTCGAATCCGGCCGGGTCGAAGGAATTTTTTCTGGGTGTTCGATCTTTGTATTAACAATTATAACAAACTAGTGGAGTAATTTCACAAAAAATAATTGAATATCAATTCAATAAAAATTTAAAGTAGCTATACTACTTTATTTTATATTCATAATGATTGTTTGCTTTAGTGACGATCATATTATCCCTTCACATTGTATTTTTAATAATTGTAATATTGTGACATTGATAATATGAAATAAATGATTCTATTCTATTCTACGCTACCATCTCAAGTGACCAAGATTGTGCACTAGATTATTAAGAAATTGAAAACTGTGCCAGTTTCGTCTGTATCCGTCATTTATTTATTTTTTATTAGAACAATATTGTTCATATGCTCATCAAAATAATAAATCAATTTTAATGTGTCCCACTATTCAAAAATGTTTGTTATGAAGTCTAGAAATTGCGGACAGCGAATGTTAATGTATTAAGATGGAGCCTCCTTCCTTCTCATTAACAACAAGTTCTACTATATTTCCGATACTGTACTTTCTTGAACTGTTTTTGTAAATGTTAAAAAGCCATTCACATCCATAAGAAATAAGCACATTTGACCTCCATCTCACCTGATGGAAAGTGACGATGAGGTCGACGATGGAGCACACCTAAATATGTCTATTACTTCTCGCCTTGAAAAGGCTCAACTTATAACGCTCAGGAAATAATAAATTCGGAAAATCTGCTGACTCGTTCCGTAGGTTAGTAGGGAAAGTGGTAGCCCCGGTTTGGCGAAGTCGCTGGTTCGAAACCTGCCGTATCGAAGGGATTTTGGTTTGCGTTTGTTCGATCTTTGCATCAATATTAATACTAGCTAACTAGTAAAAAATTTTGAAAAAAAAAACATGAATATTATGGTAGTAAAAACTTCATGATATTCATAATATTGCAGTACGATTGTTATTAATTAGAGCTTAAGAACCATCGATTTAACTGACCCCGTGGCCAAACGGATACCATGCTGGACTGCCACGCAGAGGTCCCGGGTTTAATCTAATTTAAATCTAACTAAAATGTTACTATTTATTTAAGAGTGATAATAATACACACATGAAACAAAAACAAACAAATGTAATCAGGACGACAAAGGCTACAAATGACTGTTATCAGACTATACTATTCCACAACCGACCAGGAACATTACGACTTCTGTTGCAAAATAAAAAAAAATAAGAAAAATATTCCTGTCCCCCTCACATTTACAGTATTTACCATATCTAGGTGATCACGAGTGTCGTTGTGCTCTATGGAATCTATGGATTAGTGGTGAATGATCATTCCGATCATTCGAATACGAAAATTAGTAGGTTACTAATTTGTCATTCGAATGACAGGTTTATTAATTACTAACGAGTCCATGATCGAAAACATTCGCAATCGCGCATCGCTACCCTGCTTTGCGGTAGACAAAGACGGTTCCTCCACTAAGAAGCCAGGAAAATGATTCTGTAAAATAGAAGGACCTGGCGGATGACGTCATTTATTCTCCTCTATTTATACAAACCCGTCGCAACAAGTTGCAACAACAAAGAAAATTGTCTTTACGTCATACAACGCAGCTACCCTTGAAACGTGATTACGCAGAAAAAGATGAGTAATGCATTCCTTTGTTTTTGCAAATGGGTTTGACATGAAATTGCACTCTGGCTTTTTCTGGATGTTAATTACCTTGAATTTGTGGAACAATCACGTCATCTTGTTGTACAGCACTCTCAAAAATAAAGGGATAGAAATGGAAATGGCAAAATAATTAATTATACATAGTTTTTCATATCAAATACAATTTTTGTCTTATTTGACATCAACCGACTGGTGCCACGTAACCTCATTTAAATAAATACGTATTGTTTAGTTGTGCCTGGAAGAAATTGCTACTAAGCAATAATGCTGCCTGTTATACATTGGCTTACTCTGTGATACTTACATTTACTGTTCTGTGTTGTCATTTTAATTTAAACTGTAATAAAGAATATTTCTTTCATTCATTCATGTTCCACATTTAAATGGCGAACGGTTATAGAGTAGAATTCCCTGCCTACAGACTTATTCCCTGAAAGCTGTAACTTGGATCTTTTCAAGGCATAGGCATTATTTAGTGTATGCTCCACTGTCAACCTCATCGTCACTTTCCATCAAGTGAGATGGAGGTCAAATCTGCCCCACTTATCATAAGTTGTTACTTATGATAAGTAGGGCAGATTTGACCTCCAAAAAAAATGCAGATTATGTTTAATCGGCATTTTAGCATACCTGGGATCAGGTACACGCGACCTGTAACTTCCTATAGGCGATTTTTTTATATCTTATTTAGTTTGAATTTTATTCTTAAGCGAAATCTGCGTAACTGACACTCTTTAAAAAAAACTACGTGCCAATATCTCGAAAGTGACCAAATGCCAAAAAATTATGACAAGGAGAGCAGAAATGCGCTCTTATGTATTTAATCACCAAATAAATTAGTAAAAAAAAGAATATCGAGTTTTTAGGTTTTGCGCAATCGTTACACAAATATACGCGATTTTAAATCCGAAAAAAATTGTTCAATTTCCAATAAAAATGGTTTTCCATAATTGCCTTCTAAAAAAATTTATGAGGTATTGGGTCGTTATCATAATGACTATCCATCTACGGGTGGGTGACGACGAGTTCTGCCGCTGATAGTTGAAACGGCGCATGTAAGATTTTTCAAAAAAATTCTAAAAAATCACTGCCGTGATCAGTAAGAACAGCAATTTAGCGGCACTAGAGTTCCTTGTGAAAGAGTTAATCCAGGGAAGTACTGCCACCTTACCTGTTTCTGCCGCCAAGGTTTTGAAGGGTAAGGGTGCTGGTGAAATTACAGGCACATGGGACTTGTCAACTTATGTCTCAGGGTGACGGGTGCAGTGGCAGTGCCCCTCAGATCTTTGCGTGTTAAAGCTCCGAGTGGCAACTGTTACGGACAGGCGTGTAGCTTACCACCAGGCGCACGACTTGTTCGTTCCGTCACTTGATATTATAAAAAAGGCAGATCCGAGGCCCGAGTGACAACTACTTTTATTTTTTCCTAGGTTTATCAACCTAACTATCAAGTTGCCGCAAGAGAAACGTAGTTATTTTTTATTTTAATATCTTTAAACATTATTTTCTCGGTTTTCAGTTTTTGTCACAAGTGCCTTTTCAACCAACAACACACAAGCAGCGTTATTAGGCTTATAGGAATGAACAAGAAATTAATCAATATTTATCATTGTTGCAGGGTACAGTGGGCCAGTCGGAAACAACCGCATGTGTTCAACTACAACCCTTACTTCCTCATTAGTACCATACAGCTGGTAAGTTTAACAGTTTTGACACACATAACGTCCCCCTACGGCTATCGTAGGCAAAGCTATCAGGGCAACCGATTAAGCACTTTACATCATCTGTAGCTCATGACACGTCCTTTCAATGAGTTATAGTCACGTAAAGGTTAACGATAGTGCAGAATGTTCGTTTTTGAAAGTTCGGCCAGATTTAATGTGAACTAAACTTAAGTTGAATTAACGATGATTATTTTGTTGTAGAACTATTGTAGAAAAACAGCATTATGCTTCCGTTTCACCAACATTATTAGAAATAAAATCAGAGTAGCTCATGTTTATTAAACATGAATCATGTGATTTTTCCATATACAAGTGTGTTTTTTGTATAAATAATGTGGCCATTATTTTTTTCCTTCAAAGCGGGACGCCTGTAAATTTATTATAATTTAAAAAATAGAACACTTCTTTATGAAAGTTACAAAATGTTTAATGAAAAAAAAATCAAAAAGGATTAAATGGAACTATAAAGTTTTAATAACCGAAAATTTAAAACAAAAACTAATATTGTGTAGTCTGGTGGGTTGACTTTAAATATTTTTCGGATGAACAAATTTGCTTTGTTTAAATGTGCCGTGTTATGTCAAAGCGGGACGTATGGTCACGTTATGTAGGTATAAAGTCCTATTCAATTTAAGTCTTACTCATTTAAAACAAATCTGTTAAATATGGCAGTTAGTGAGAAGACGACAAGTAGACTAAACAATGTAATATTCCTTATACAATATAATATAATATATACAATATAATAGTTCTTAAAATGATAGGGGATAGGGGATAGGACTCCGATCTGCTTGCTAGGTTCACCGAACTTCACGTCCTGGGAGCTCGGTGATCTTAGCAAGTATCACGTATCATGTAATCATAAACTGCCTCCGTGGCCAAACGGTTACCATGCCGGACTGCCATGCAGAGGTCCTGGGTTCGATTCCCAGGTCGGGAGAAATATGTGTATGGCCTACATTTATTTCTCTCGTGAGTTTGGGCGTAATTTGTGGTTGTCTATGTATGTGTCCATGGCACCCGCGACACAGGGTTTCCCTAGTGCGGGGCTATGTTGAGAGTGTGCGTTATTATTATTATTATTATTTCATTATGTAATCTATTCAATTAATTTCATTCATTCATTCATTTTATTTTATTTTTATTTTGTAATTTTTGTACTAACAGTAGAATAGATAGCTTGTAAGTGTACTAGCAAAATGGCCTGTATATTGTCTGCAATAAAGGAGTTTTTTTTGTTACATACAAGACTACAAGAGAAACTATCAAAAACACACTACAAAAGGCAAATTTTGAGGCTTTTCTATAGCATAGATGATAAATAGATTTTTTTTAGGATATCAAGTGATGGAACGAACTAGCGACAACCCTACCTTCAACAATTGCAGTTAAGCTTAACAATTCAGAGCTTTAAATACGAGATCCACCTTGAATTACAAAGTTGACAACTCCCTGAGTTTCATGTCATTATGATATCATATGGTTAAAGAATTATCCTTTAGAGTACCACAAGGCATGAGTCTGATACCACAAGTGTATGTGGAATATATTTTATTCACACTTTCAGAATTTCAATGTACACAAGTTCTTGGTCTTTCAAAAGTCGCCCAGTATTTTTGACGAAGTACAAATAGAACTTGGCACTTTTCAACAGCAGGTATTCTATGTATACTGACCTATAATCCAATCATTTGGGTCGATAACACATGTGTATTACTAGGCTACTTCAAAGTCATACACGTCACAAACGTTACGAAGGTGCATATTGTATAATGAAGTGCTTTTGTACTATTTGGGGTGTATTCAGTATCTCCAGCATTGTCGTAACATATTAAAACGGTCACTGTGTTTTGACAAAAATAAATAAACGCCCTATTTTTTTAAATTCTTAAATTTCTTTCAAGGCATCATTGGATAAGTTTCTGGAAATTTCCATAAATCATAAAGATAAATTCCAACCAAAAAGAACTGAAGACTGTGTAGCGTTAAAAACGCAGAAGTCAATTAATAGTGTAGTGTTTATCATGACGGAAGACGGCGCGACCTCGGTGGCGGCGGTGCGAGCGATTCGTAAGCGCCATCAAGGTCCCGCCACAAACTAGCTTCATTTCTGGTATTTTCCACTGCGCCGGCGTTCGTATCTTTAAAGTTGCGCTTTGTAAATGCTTTATGCACTTTGTACGTGATTTATTTACACAAATTTATCAATATTAAGTAGAAATTTCACCAGGTACTTAAGGTTTTAACACGAGGCTAGTATGCAATATTGCCAAATATCAAAATATTAGAAATTATCTACTTTGTGAGTGATAGGAATGTGTATTTCGATCTCTCACAAAGCTGAATATTTATACGATGTTGACCTGAGTTTAGTGCTACGGATGGGCTTAAATTATTCGCAAAATGTCTACTGTCAGAGAATTTTAATTTATTTACCAAAAATAGTCATGAGACAGTACGGGTGACCTTCTTGAAGTAGCAGTGTAATACCATAAATATTCCGTTTTTAAAAATTGTTAAGATGATTTTGTCGATGTCACTATTGTAAGTGAAAATTTTACAGCAAGCATTTTATATTGTAATTGTAATTATATTTAGGATTTATTTCAAATGAAACTTTTTTCATATGTATTAGGTGTGTCATATCGACCCGTACAACGTTAATGTATGTAACATAATATACAATATTGGCGAAAATTAATTCATTTACTACCCGATAAAGAAGTGTCCAACTGTGCCCAAATAACACACTGTAATATCAAAAACAACATTTTGAGAAAACGCTGGAAAATGGGATTTGTCGGCTTTTTGTCATTTTTAAGTTAATAATATAAAAAGATATATTTAAGTTATTTTGTACTTTAAAGGATTCTATATAGCCTATATAAATGCAAAATAAGCTATTTCTATTGAAAAACTAATCATTTTCTTTTGCCTTCATTTTGTTGTCATTGTTTTACTATTTATAGCCAGTAATGGCATTAGTAACTCGTGACAATATAATAAATTACTTTGAGCTTGGTACCGCTGAACATTTGCTTCAGCTGTACCAAATACTGTACTGCTGCCACCTATGGGATAGCTCTGTGACATACCAACTGGCCACCTTGGATTCATTCGACAAGCGTGTCAAGAGGCTTATGAGCTGCAGGTCTTGAACACCGCCGTAAAGTTGCCCGCTTATCGGTATTCTACTTCAGGATATTTCCGCCTTTCCAAACCAAACGCAGGCTGGGCTTTCACCCCTATGTTTTGGCTACTCCAAGGAATCCCACATTTATATGGCGAACGGCTATGGAGTGGAATTCCGTGCCTGCAGACTTGTTCCCTGAACGGTATAACTTTTCAAGGCGAGAGTGAATAGGTATTATTTAGGTGTGCACGCTCCATCGTCGACTTTATCGTCACTTTCCATCAGGTAAGGTAGAAATCAAATGCGCACTTATTTTTTTAACAAAACAACTTGTCTGAAATAAACGAAACGTGATGAAGTTGCGGTTAAAATCTAGCCTATGACAAGCGAAGTCCAAATTAGAACGCTTTAAGGTCGCTGTCAGATCTGACGTAATTTTGCAGTAGAGCAGTGCCCTCACCCGAAATTGAAGTCGAAACGACCTTGTAGCAGCGGCTTTCCACCCGGAAGCTTACGTGGTACCGATTTTATACGATCACCTTATTCGGAGTGCGATTTTGTTGAAAAAGTTTCAAGTGCGGCTGCGTCATGGCCAATAAGTTATTTATGTCAACAAGGATTTGACAGTAAAAAGCAGGCACTGTCAACAGCTTTATGATCTTTCAGCGAGTAAAAAGAAATATTACATCGAACTGGTTTTATGCACAGACCTACTTGGAAGTTTAACCTGTTATACATCCCACTATTGGGCGCGGGGCTTCTTTAAGAGGGTTTAGGGTAAAGTCCGCCATACAATTGAAGATTTCTCATAAAATTTACATTTCATATTATTAAGTCTGTTATTGATACAGGTGTTCCACTATTGTTATCACGTGGATTAGATCGCGTTAATTGGACTGCACGATTGTAGTACATTACAAATTATTGCATGAGAATGACTAAAACTAAGAAAACTTTGTATGCCATAAGGCGGATCACAGTGATTCAAAATTCACTCTTGTAACAATTTTATAACCTGCGTATCACAAAGAAATACATTATTTGATTTGATTTGCAACGAAAACAAGTAAATTACTTTACATGTTATCCAAAGATGGATAATGGCCTTCGACAAGACGTTTTCCTTCAACGGCAACGAAAGCGTCGGTGGCCCAACGGTTTAAATTGTAATGGAAAATGAATATTTCCAAATTTGTTCTTGGTCTTCTAGGTTGTGCCCCGGAATGGGTTCCTTTCCTCTGGTACTCATAGTACAGGGAACTCCCTTGTTTCAAACCGGGTAACTGGTAGGTTATCTGTATCCACAAGGTTTCGAACCGTCGCCATATCAACTGATACGAAATCGTTATTTCACTGAGCTACCACCGCTATGAATAAAATATTATTGCTCACACTATAATACAGAACACACACACACGTACTACTCATGTTGTATACACGCTCATTTTAATATGTAATTTATTTGACGATAACATTTTAAAAGTTTTAACCTGTTCAATCTAATTGTCTTATGTTTTTTATTTCTACCTGCTATCGTTTTTTTTAAAATAAATTAACATAAATATTATTAATGCGTTTTTTTCAATAATTATTTTGAAAATGGTTATCAAACGTACACTTCCTGTTTGTGCCTACAAGTAAACAGGAAAATATTTGTTATTATATTTAAAGCTACAACCTGTGTAAAAAGGGGCCGTCGGGACCCCGTTTGTCTTATAATTTTCTTTATATTGTGTATTTCAATGTAAATATAAAATATTAGACAACACCACATACTTAGCTCTGATTCCGAAGTAAGTAACTAATATAAACTTAATTACCGCTTAATGTGCAAACA